AACAGAGGCTTATTATTGTTTTCATTCACTGTGCTTTGAGGAAATTTGTTATGCATCAACAGATAACTTAAATACACCAGGAAACAGTATAGGTAATGAGGATGAGGGTAGCCTTGGAGAGGAAGCATACCCCTGAAATAAAGGGAAAGTAGATGCTTTAAGAGTTTAGTCTAGGGATGGGAAAAAGAGGAAGTTAAGTTTGATGACCAGTATTTTCTCTAGAGAATAAGAGGCAAAGATGTCTGCTCAATATGGGAAGTGGGAACTGTAAAGTTGAGAGTAATAAAAAGGGTGCAGTGGGGCACCTGGGTGGCTCAGTGGGTTGAGGCTCTGCTTTCGGCTCAGGTCATGATCTCAGGGTCCTGCATTGGGCTTCCTGCTCAGCAGAGAGCCTGCGTCCCCCTCTCCCTCTGCTGCTCCCCCTGCTTGTGCTCGCTCTCCTTCTCTGTCAAATAAATTCTTAAAAAAAAAAAAAAAAAAAGGTGCAGTGGTCATCAGGTCAATCTGAAAAAGCCAAATAGGAATGAGTATCTGAGTTAAGAAGTCATATATCTGCAGTGGAGGCAGCTGGCATATTTCTGTGATTTTCTACCACTATGCTCAATAACCGAGAAGAAATGGAATTCAAGAGACGGTGGGTTTCACCTGACTTGGGAATTGGTGAAGAGAGATGGTAAAAGAACAACGGGGTCAAGAAAAATCAGGGTGCTGATTTAGGCCACTGAAGTGCCTGGCCATGAAGTCCAAGCTGACAGACATGGAAATGAGCTCAGGAGGAAGCTCATAACCTGGGAGAATGAGAGCTTGAGTGAAAATTACCATTTAGGGAAGCAGGATGGGTCGAGAAGCCAAAAGCAGTAAATTAGAAATTAGAAGTCCCAGGATATGGTCACAGCTAGTACTAACAAACCATGGATCCTTGGCTAAGATAACATTTTTGAGGCCTTTTTTTCCCCCCTCGACCCTGGGTTAAAGTATGGAAAATGCCAACTAACAGTGGCTTGCCTACTGTAAGCACTCTGTAACTATAAATTAATTGCTGCTAATGTTTTAAAATTATATACTGGTATATACACATATGAAGGAAGTGTAATAAGATAAATACCAGGAAGGGCACCTGGGAGGCACAGAAGGTTAAGTGACGGCCTTTGGTTTGGGTCATGATCCCGGGATCCTGGGATCGAATGGTTTCCCTCTCTGCCTGCTTGTGCGCTCTGTCAAATAAATAAATCAAATCTTGAAAAAAATAAATACCAGGAAACCTACCACCCAACTTATTGAACAGAATATTAATACGCTGTTTTTTTCCTGATCCCATCCCCACCGGCTTCTCCCCTGAAGATAAACACTGGCTTGAATTCTGCATTTATCACTTTCCTTTTTTTTTTTTTTTTTCCCAAATGTTATGCCCCACATTTGTACAGGGCCCATTTCTTCATATGTAAGATGAAGCTTTGGATTAGGTACTCTCTACGCTCCCTTCCAGGTCCAAGGGTATATGAGATATGTTGGGTGAGCATCAAAATTACATACCTAGTGGAATCATATAATACATGCTTATTTTTCAAGGGGTTTCTAGAACTAAAACGGACTCTTCTGCTGAAATCTCCAATTCAACAGAAGGGTATCTCAATGGAGTTTCTAATCTCAAGATCAAGACTTTCCATCACTTTCAATTTGCACCTCTGCTAGAAACTTCTACTCTAGAGAAAACCAACACAAGGAGCTAAATAATCTAAGACCCTGACCCTGGCCTATGAAAACCTGAAATCCAAGACTGAGGAAATAGAACTGAAACAGTTGAACTAAGAAAGCAAATTTATTTCAACGACAAGTATTTTAAAAAATGTAAGGAGGCATGGCTGGGTTCGTCTGCCATTTTTCATATAACCTGGATTTATTTCCCCCATAAAAATGTGTGTGCGCCTGTATAAAATAAAACTAAACTTGTCTTCTTCATGTTTCTTCAAAGATTCTTATGCTATTTTAGTTTTTATATAAAACAGTCTTTAAATAAGGTAAACACAAATGCAAATCTCCTGACCATATGGTTGTTATCCAGGTTTACTGTCTAGCCTAGGATGCTATTTTTCCTAGCTATTAGCATTCTAAACTTTTATATTTGTCTCCCCAGTTACCAAGTTTATGAGTTAAGTGAGTTGCACCAGGCAGAGGAGTTGCTGTGGAAAGGGCAAATGCCCTATTCGTACACATGTCTGCATTGATCATGGTACAGATGGAAAAGAAAGTCACCTGAGACTGTGGGTATGGGTAACAGGTTCATGTATCTTCAGGGGCTTCTCAAGAGGCCATGACTGTAAAGTAGGATGTGAATACATTCTGAACCTTGATGGTACCAGAAAGACAATGATCAAAACAATGAGTGGTCACTACAGTATTTTTCTCCTGGTATTTAGATAGTTCTCTTTCTTCTACCCATGGAATTGGCACAAGAAAATAAACATTTTCTTACAGGTCTCCTTCCCAAGGCCAGTCCTGCTTCAATCATTTAAAATTCAGGATACAAATCACCTTGATTTTTATAACCTGCCTCTCTAAAAAATGGCAACAATAAACATAATGTTATCTCCTCAGTTTCTGCCAACTTTGGTGCTTAATACGAGCTGGGCACAGTACAAACTACGGGACCCCAGGAGTGCCGGTATTATATATATATATGTTTTGTCTGAGGTCAGGAGTAACACAAGGAGCTACCAGTATGCCTCCACAATGAAAGAGTACTGCAGTGCATTATTTGAAATTAAATCCAGATACTCTCCAAGTTTAGCTAGGTACAGCTACCCAGAGAGCTCAGCATCATCTTTACCTATACATGTTTATTCCTGGTGAGAACATTTGCAAACCACAATGGCACTTCCAGAACCCCTACAGAGAAAGGCAATCTTCCAAAAAAGCAAATCCTCTCCTTGGGGTAGAGTATGGAGGCCCTGGATAAGATCAAACTGCAGTCCTCAAAGGCTCTCTGGGCTGAGCTTTTGAAAAAACACTTCTGCATTTAACCTTTTAACCATTAACGCTTGACTTAACTGAAATTAAAACAATATTCAGCTGCTTACCTGTCCTCATTCCAAAGGGAGGGCATTCTCTGAAAAAGAGGGTCTCACAGGTAAGTAAGTTTCTCCTCCCCAATTTTTCTAGTTTTTGGGAATCCAAAAATTGCCAGCAAATTAAATCCAGACTAGTGAATTCTAGGCCCAATAAACATCCTATGCAGTCTCTGACAGCTCCTGGACCAAATTGGCTGCTTTAATCATTAGTTTACTGAAGAAACCACAGGACTGTTTATTTTGCGAGCTAACAAAATTAACACAGGTAGGCCTTCACCTACAGTGAATGCTACTCCCACTCAAAAAGGTCAGACCTTTTGTGATTTTTATTTGATTCCTTTGTTGAGTTGTATTCAAGCAGCTAATTCTTTGCAATCAGACTCACAACCCTGCTTGTTTTCCCTAAACTAGGTAGAAGTTCTGGTTTACAAGTGTAGTGTAATAGTTTTGTTCCATCATCACTCAAACAAATGAAATCTAAAGGGTTTTGTTTTTTCCAGTAGTGAGACTATTAAATAACCTTAAGTTGGTTTGAGGTATTGACTGATACACAAATAACCAAAATTAGTGGCATATTGGGTGTTTTTTTTTCCCTCCCTCAATACATTATCACCCTCTTCAGAGGAAATGGTCTAGGTATTCACTTAAGATCACACAGCTAGAGGATGCCTGAGTGGCTCAGTGGGTTAAGCGACTGCCTTCAACTCAGGTCATGATCCCGGAGTCCTGGGATCGAGTCCTGCATTGGGCTCCCAACTCCATGGGGAGTCTGCTTCTCCCTCTCACCTTCTCCTTGCTCATGCTCTCTCTCACTGTCTCTCTCTTAGATAAATAAAATCTTAAAAAAAAAAAAAAAATCACACAGCTAGAAGCAGAAATACCATTGTCCCTGGGCTATCCTGAAACCATTTTTATGGCCTGCAACTAAATAAACAGTTCTGCTTCTGTTAGGAGAGAACCCTGTGTTGTGTATCATGAAAGAAGGCATTCCACAGGAGTCCACTCTCCCTTATCTGTTACTCCCAAAAATGCTACATTTGAAATTATCAGTGTCCTTCATCTGAGCCCGTATCTATACCAGATACCCAATCCCTCTCCCTGCAAGACAGATTTAGAACCAAACCAAACCTGAAAAAAACAACCAACCAAAACAAAAACACAAAAATGCACAGATAATCCAAACAAACAACAACAACAAAAAACTTGGTCTGGAGAGATGATGAGGTTTCCTTGTAAGGACCAACTAAACACGAGGCTAGCAGAGCCTTGGGTGTTTCAGAAATCTAACTTCTTACACACACAATCCAGGAGAGTCAGCAGGGCCATCACACATTAAAGGTTTGAAGCTTAATCAAATTTTACACATAGGTGGAAAGCCTATCTCTTCTCCACAAATGCACTGTTCCTCTCCTCCATTCCAATCTTCACTCCTACACAATCTACACCTGGTTTGACAGCTAGCACAATTTCTAGCTGGAATGTGGGAGAGACGAAAGAAATAAAAGAAACCTGCTCTAGGTTGGAAATATGTAGGGAGCAAGGTGTTCTAAAGATTCTAAACAAGAATGGGGTGTTTTCCTATCTAAATGCTATCAGCGTCTTGAAGACTCTGGATAAGGAGATGTACTGATCAAAAAAGGACCATTCCTATAAATTTTAAAAAAATCTATGTGTAACACAAATACATAGTTACTTTTTCCAACCCAAGTTTCTTGCCTGCTTTAGCTGGATCCTTAAGATAACTTTAAATAATTATGCTTCTGTGAAATGGGATGTGATTTCTGATCTTGGGGCTGCAGGTACTTAACCAAACTATCAAGCTATCTATATTGATGCTTTATTTGAAACAGTTCTGAATTTGAAGCTTCTTTTCTTGCATCAAATGAGTGAAGACTCAAAGCAGGGAAGAAAAAAAAAAAAGGTACTCGTCAGTTTGAAAGTCACAGACAGTTTATCTTTCTATAATTAGATTAGGAGGAAAAACCACGAAGAACCCATTGGTAGCAGGAAGAAGCAAGAGTCTTCTAGGGTTTGGCATCTGCAAGGAAATGAGAGAAAAAAAAAGTTCTTAGTTCCTTTCAGTGATAAAAACACCAACCACATCTGATAATAGGCCATATAACTACAACCCAATTAACATCTCTTAGCTGAAGAATCTGACATTGCTAATGGCAGAACAGCAAGTACCTTCTGATGCTTAGCTCTTCAGTACCACTAAGCACACAGAAACTTGTTAATTGAATCAAAAACATTGTACAAAGAGATCACTGTACAATCCTGTGTCAACAGTTTCACGACTGAGAAGAAAATCAGGACTATCCATACAATGGACTTCTCCAGACAACTGTGGATTAATTTCAGCTAACGTATATTGATCTTTTTCCTCTTCTCATATGCTCTATCTACTCATTAATTCAGTAACATTTTTTGAGCTGTTACAACATACATTAGGGGAATAAAAATTAATATGACATCACCTGCTTTAAGACATTTATCTAGTAAAAAGTAGATTTGTTGATAAAAAACACAATGAGATAAAGCATATCAAGTGCAAGGTGAACAAACCCTCTTCATGTATGTGCATTCAACAAAATCTCCACCAACACTTAAGTTCCTTAAGGGGATAAATCCTATCTTCTATTTCTTTTGTATCTTTCCAAAGCAGCTAGAGAATTCTGTAACAACTGGCATTCAAAAAATGATACTTTATTTTTATTAAGAGGATAAAAAATTCTGTGGCTGTTTAAGGATTGTTACCTAACCTAGGATCATTTTTCTCTCCTGATTCCTCAGAGATTATACAGAAAAATACATTTTTAGCATGTAAGGGGTTTAATAGTGAAAAGTTCCCAAGGAGAGATGTCTAGTCTTAGGTATTAGAGATAGAAGCTTCTCCTAGGCTTTCATTTTAATTTTTTTTTTTTAAGATTTGAGAGTGAGAGAGAGAGACACCATGTGCACATGTGCGAGTGGGGACAGGGGCAGAGGGAGAAGGAAGCTGCCTTCTCACTGAGCAGAGAGCCCGATGTGGGGCTTGATCCCAGAAACCTGAGATCATGACTGAGCCCAAATCAAGAGCTGGCTGCTTAACTGACTGAGCCATCCAGGTGCCCCTAGAATATTTTTTTTCTCGTAATCTCTACACCCAATGTGGGGCTCAAACTCACGACCCCAAGATTAAGAGCTGCATGCTTTCCTGAGTGAGCCAGCGAGATGCCCCCAGACCGTTTGTATCAGGTAGTAATCCGTACTATATGAGAACCAAGCATCTTGGGCAGTGTGTTGGAGAAGGATTCAAAGTTCACCATTTATCCAGGTGCTGTGTGCTTTTCTGACACACCCCAGTGCTGTCCTGGCTCTTCCCATTCTGGGGCCAAATCCAATTTTCTGGTTCTACATGTATTTAACAATTTGACAAAACATACCAAGAAAAATGGCTAGCACCTGGAAGCAACCGATAAATATCATCGTCCATAGTTAAGGGGTATTTGCTTTTAGAATCTCTTTTCTGCTTCTCACCAGGAGAAACATCAGTTTAGGTATAAAATGAACCCTAACTCACTGAAGATCCATCTGCTTCACTGTCCAGAGGAAGTGAATGAACTAGAAGGCAAGAGGCCAATTACTCACTCCTTAAATAAATATTCACAGAGGGCTTACTATCTGCAAGACAGTGAAGACATAGTCTCTTTCCTAGCCTAACAATATTCCTTTTGGCAGGAGCAATACGGCTGAGCAACCTCAGCCAAAAAAGCATTGGAAGAATCAAATTTGGCTCTTCCATAGTCACATAGGGTTACCTCAAGGAAAGGTTTCATCTTTAGAAAGTGAAAGATTTTAGTCTCTTCATACAGATTTTGTAAGATCTTGCGAAATCAAGTATTCAGATAAGATCAACAGTGCAAACTTCTTAGAGACCTCAAACTTTTAACTGCTCATTAAAAAGAGTATGAATTTTTTGCTGAGTGTTAAACTGTACTGCACAGGGGAAGAATTGCAGCGCAGTGAAGCACAGCTGTCTGATTAATCTCAGTCCATTAAAAGGCATGATAGATCTAGAATGCAACTTTGATTAAAAAAAAAAGAAAAAGGAAAAAGGCAGTGTGTACTAACGTTAGGGAAAACAACTTGGCATGTTAACAGAATTCTAATTTAACCAGTAAATGCCTATTCATTAGCGTGTAGAGCCATAACAGAAGCTATATACTTAAAAAACACAGGCACACACAAAGCTTTAATTTGATACCATAATCTGAAAGAAAATTGGACCCAAATTGCTTTATGTCCAGTTAAATCTTGCTACTATCTGAAGAGACAGTGAAATGAAACTGAAACACTTACTTGATGAGATATTCAGTTACTGTGCATTTCCATCTATGGAGTAGAAATATTTCAAAATAAATACACCATAACAATTGAAATTCACTCCTCCTATTCTTACTAAACACAAATGACTTATTCTTGGGGTATACTGAATTACAATATAAAAGTGAAAGAATTTAAAATTAGTGATTGGATTCTGTTCAAGACCATGGAAAAGAATAGTTTATTACCTATCAAGCCTTTAGGCATATGATTTGGTGATCTCATTTTTAGGGAAATTCAAGTACCCAAAGGAAAATATTTTATTTTATTTTTTATTTTTTTTAAAGATTTATTTATTTGGCAGACAGAAATCACAAGTAGGCAGAGAGGCAGGTTGGGGGGAGGAAGCAGGCTCCCCGCTGAGCAGAGAGCCCGATGCGGGGCTTGATCCCAGGACCCTGGGATCATGACCTGAGCTGAAGGCAGAGGCTTAACCCACTGAGCCAACCAAGTGCCCCAAGGAAAATATTTTAAAGGAAATCCTCTAGCCACCTAAAAAATTAGGTCAAACAGTAGCACAGACTGAATCAAGGGAATCAGAATTTGAGGGCAACATTAGGAAAGTTTGTATTAAATAAAAATGATAGTATTTTGGGTGTTCCATATGTGGGAATTTATCAGGGTGATATGATATGAATTTAGTACCTATTTACTCGGCACAGCCTCTAATATCCAGGGAAGACATTAGAAATTTCTTATGCTAGTTTCTATAACTTGTTACTTTCATTTTCTTTCTACTCATTTCCTTTTAGCTCTCTGCAATACAATTTCTAATCCCAGTTTCTACTGATATTATACCTTGAGTGTCAGGGATGCATTCCTACTACCCGATATCAGTAGAGTTTTCACTGTCTCCAAATTTACCCAAGGTATTTGATGTCAGTGGCCGTCCCAGTTTGAAAATATTCTTTTGGAATTTTTTTTTGTATTTTCTTACTCATAATTTCCTGTTACTAACCAGGGCAGGGACTAGGGCTAAGTGAGTGAGGTGCTCAGAATGCAAAATTTGAGGAGGTACTCACTCTCGGGGTCGTGTGAGGTAGTGAGTTCACACTGAATAGGTCTTTGAAGGATCAAGACCAACTGTATTCAGCGCAATGAAAAGAGTAAAAGCATGTTGCCTTTATTTCACTTACTGTTTTTCCATGGCAGAACATACGGCAGAGACTTGGGAACACGCATGCCTGAAGCCAGGTTACTCTTATGTTCCACAACTATGTTGCTTGCAGGGCTGCAAAAAAAAAAAGACAAATTTGCCTATGCCAGCATATCTATATTCCTCAGGCAGGCACACACAAGACAATCAAAATGTGTTTTTTGTAATTTGGGGGAAAACAGCAAACTACATTCTGAAATGTAAACACATTTCCATCAAAACATTCTTGCAATTAGAATGATTACTACTTCTCTGAAAAGCTCACTGTTTTGTACAAGCATTAAGATGGGTCTCACCATTTTCATTTTCCAGAAATTGAGATAAACAGCAATGCCATCTACTGTTCAACTGTATGACAGGCTCATCAGCTCACTCAATAAATGTAAGAGACAAAATAAAATGCCAAGACAACCAAGCCAAAGGCAACAAATCTCATAGAACTGAGGTAAAATTAATACTGTACTATTAAAATTCATCTTTAAGTTTTTCCATCTTAGTGCACACACAAAATAAGGTACATGTACAAATTACTAACTCATCTTTGAGCTAAGAAATAAAAATTGATAAGTATTCTATTTGGGGAAAAAATGAAGTCTCACATCTCATTCCTTTGTTTTCTGATCCATAAATATTTACATTTCTGAATATCTGAAACTTGATCTTTTTTTTAAGATTTTATTTATTTGTCAGAGAGAGAGAGAAAGAGAGAGAGAGAGCGCGCGTGTGTGCACACGCGCACAAGCAGGCAGAGGTGGAGAGAGAAGCAGGCTCCCTGCCAAGCAAGGAGCCTGATTTGGCACTCGACCCCAGGACCCTGGGATCATGACCTGAGCCGAAGGCAGCGGCTTAAGCGACTGAGCCACCCAGGCATCCCTGAAACTTGATCTTTTAAGGTTTGAAGATAAAGTAGTAATGAGAGATCTCATAGATTTAAGTTAGATAGAGGGGTGCCTGGGTGGCTCAGTCGGTTAAGTGGTTAAGTATCTGACTCCTGATCTCAGATCAGGGTTTTTTTTTTTTTTTTTTTTAAAGATTTTATTTATTTATTTGACAGACAGAGATCACAAGTAGGCAGAGCAACAGGCAGAGAGAGAGGGGGAAGCAGGCTCCCTGCTGAGCAGAGAGCCCGATGTGGGGCTCGATCCCAGGACCCTGGGATCATGACCTGAGCCGAAGGCAGAGGCTTAACCCACTGAGCCACCCAGGCGCCCCTCAGATCAGGTTTTGATCTCCGGGTTATGAGTTCAAGCCCCACACTTAGATACAAATTAGATACAAAATCAGAGGAGATGCATTTTCTTCCCTACCCAATAGGTACTCTGGCTTGCCCAATTTCAAACTAAGAACTTTTAAGATTATTTTTCCTTAGACACTAATTACCCAGAGAGGCGTCGTTGGAGAATTTTTTCAAAGCATTAAAATAATGCCAACTTGGGGCACCTGGGTGGCTCAGTGGGTTAAAGCCTCTGCCTTCGGCTCAGGTCATGGTCCCAGGGTCCTGGGATCGAGCCCCGCATCGGGCTCTCTGCTCAGCAGGGAACCTGCTTCTCTCTCTCTCGCTGCCTGCCTCTCTGCCTACTGGTGATCTCTGTCTGTCCAATAAATAAATTAAAAAAAAAAATTTTTTTTTTAAAATGCCAACTCAGCAAAAAAAACCAACTTAGACATAAGAATGTCTGGTGCCGCTGTCTCCCTTGCTAGACTGTAAACTAGTATTTCTGTGTTCCCACAGGGATTAACACAAACCATGTGACCTTTTTATGAATTGAGGAATAAAGAAAAAAAATAACCCACCAAAACTAAGTTACCACCAAGTAACATCATTAAGGAAAGAAACCAAACCATGCTTTGGTGGCTTCTTTTGGTACCAGAGCACTTAGATTTTGGGAGGCAGTGCTGGGAATGAGCCTATTTCATTTACCTGTTGTTGCCACAGTAGTTGGCTGTGCCCCAGACAAATGGGGTGCTGGTCTGTTCCCACAGATCTGCCAAAGAAAGCAAGACATAGTTTGTGGCATCCCTAGGTAAAACACCAGTTTATGCTAGTTGAATCTGTAAGTTGGGAAATAATACACCTAAGCTTAGAGAAGTAAAAATTGATCAAGTACCCTGCTGAAGTGACACAGTAGCAGGAATTTAATTGAAGGATATAAATGCAAGCAACATAAATAATAATAAACGTGCCCAGTAACAACCAAACACAGATGGTACAACACAATTTATGGAAAAAGGCAGTTGTAAAGAAGTGCTTTTTCCAATCGAGAGGGATAGGCTGTTCCACATGCCTGCACAGTGATACAAATGTGCTCATTTTGGGGCCCAATAAAAATAATAAGGCGTTCTGAACATGGGATGCTCATAAAAAAGGAAAATCTTCCTTCTGCCTAAACTAAATGACTTGAGATTTAGACATTGTGAAAAAAAAAGATGAAGATACACTCCACCTTTATCCCAGTCTTCATCGCAAGGAGGGCACTGCCATGTGCTCTCAGCCAGAGTCTCTTGTCCAAGGTTCCTGGTTTGGTTGACTGCAAGATAATAAAGATGCTGATGTAAGAAGGGGACATCATCAGGTTATTATTTTTAAAGGGGTAAAGTGGCTTAAAAGGTTTCAGGGTAGCCTAATAAGTCTTTGTTTCTGAAAAACGGAGACTATGAAAGCTAAACAGAGGTCTTATCCCCTTGCTGACAGAAGAAAAAGAAGCACAAACAAGGGTGTTTACTATATTTACGGCAATAAAAGGATTTTTATTTTTAGATAAATTGGTAAGATGGATCAGGTTGCTCAAAAGAGAAAGCAGTCTGATAAACACAGCCTGACAACCTTTTACTGATGAGATAAAATACTCAAGGGCAGAAAGGTACTATTCTTCTGAAATGATGAAAGCCAAAAATCAAGCTGACAGCGCAGCATAATACAAATTGGAAGGGGCTAACCTGTAGGATGGAAACCTTTCAGCTAGTCTTACCAACATCCTGCTCAATACAACTTTTATCATCACAGCTTGAGATATGATGACTGATTTCGGCCCGAGGAACCTGGTGACGAGCATTGAAGGGACAAGTAGCCAATTTGTTTGCGACATCAGGATGATTCTGTGGAACAAAATTAAGGGGTCTGTCAATTCTTTGATTCTCTTCAGATTCAAAGGGAGTGGCCTAGCCTTACTCTATAAATGACTCCCCTAAAATCTCGCAATAAACTTGCCACTTAACTGTGGTAGGTAAACTCACAGTAGAAAATTAAGAGGGAATCAATTATTTCTCACTCACACAGACTGTACAGATGACCTCAAACTCATCAAAATGTAAGCTTCTTATGCTCGTAGAGACCGACAACACAGATACTGAGTTTACAGTGGCTTTTATAAGGGAGTAAATAGTGAATTTAAGATTGGTTATTTATTTATTTATTTTAAGATTTTATTCACTTATTTGACAGAGAGAGGGACAGTGAGAGAGGGAACACAAGCAGGGGGAGTGGGACAGGGAGAAGGGATCTTGACCTGAGCTGAAGGCAGCAGATGCTTAATGACTGAGCCAGCCAGGCACTCCAGGATTGGGTATTTGAACCACATTTCTCAGGGTCCCAAGACTGTCAGAACAGCCTGTAATGGTGGAACTCTCTGGATGTCTCTGAAGGGTGATATTCAGGAAACAGTAACAAGAAAACCTACTCTTAGTCCATACTGCAGTCCAGCCCTGCTACTGCCATGCAACAGTGCTGGCAAACAGCTGTGGGGAGGGAGCCCTAGAAGAAGCTGGCTGAGGAGTTTTCAGATTAACATAGGGATGCTTATTTAAAGTAACGGTGCCTGAAATGGTGCTGTCGAAAATTTGACCTTTATTTCAGCTATTTCATTAAGGAAAAGTCCAAATGGGAGAGGCTGCTTGCTGATCAAGTTCTTTAAGACAAAACAAAAAAACCCAAAGTGCTTAATATCACCCAAATCCTACAGGAAGCATATCAGGTATTAAGAAGTTGATTTATTAGAAGGAACAAAACATTTATCACAAATTATACTCAAAAGAGTAAAAATAATGTGAAGTGGGAGGACGCTAAGAAAAAACAGAGGATGAAGAAAATTATGAGAGCAGTTACCTCCATGATTTTCATAAGGGATACTGAGCTTTCCAGTGCAGAGAGTTTTGTGGTCAAAGATTAAGAGGTTTAGAAAAGGGGAGTGAAAGGGGTGCCTGGGTGGCTCAATTGGTTAAGCATCTGACTCTTGATTTCAGCTAAGGTCATGATCTCATGGTCCTGAGATGAAGCCCTGGGTTGGGCTCTGAGCTGGGCATGGCGACTACCTAAGATTCTCTTTCTCTCTCCTTCTCCCTCTGCTCCTCCTACATCCCGCCCCCCCAAAGTGCATGTGCTTTCTTGCTCTCTCAACAAAGGAAAAAAAATGAGTTAAAGAAAATGTCTTTTTGGGGCGCCTGGGTGGCTCAGTGGATTAAGCCGCTGCCTTCGGTTCAGGTCATGATCTCAGAGTCCTGGGATCGAGCCCCACATCGGGTTCTCTGCTCAGCAGGGAGTCTGCTTCCTCCTCTCTCTCTCTGCCTGCCTCTCTGCCTACTTGTGATCTCTCTCTCTGTCAAATAAATAAATAAAATCTTAAAAAAAAAAAAAGTCTTTTTATTGCTTTTTTTTCCCCCAACCTTTGTCCTTAGGGACATGTTTGCAATCCTAGGGGAAGAAGTTGTGGTGGGATCTGCTGGCCCACATTATCCAGGTTCAAATTTAAGGGATCTTTGCTCTAGAAATTTAAAAGAGCTGGAGAAATGATCAACAATGGCATGATAATCATGCCATTAGGACTGCAAAAGAACACACTTTAAAGGATGTTAATGCATACATGAATTGTATGCAGTTTGGATTAAATACCAAAAATGCTGTCCAAGCATAAATCCTGCAGACCTTTGGCCTTTATATCTGACATCTGTATTCTAACAATCCTTACAAAGTGCCTCAATTAGTCTACCAGCTTTAAAGTAGTTTATGTCATCTAAGACCACAAAAGAGTGACCAGAAAAAAAAAGAAACTCTGCTTAGTTGTCTCCCACCCCTACCAAAAGATGCTTCAACTAAAGACTGTAACTTGGAGAAACCATTATTTTTATGAATAATCTAACCTCTAGCTGCTCAACTTCTCTAAAAATTCCAAACAAAAAGAAATTAAAGATAAATGTATTATGGCACTCAACCCTTATCAGGACAACGAACACATCGAATTCACAAGGCAAAAGGGATTTCTCATTGCTAGCCAACATTAGTGTTTCCTCTGTTTTATAAAGTGTGAGAAGAGTATATAGAGGGCGCTCTGTCACTAGTTAGGTAGAAAAAAACAGAAACAAGAAAACACGTATGTACCCAAAGAAATGAACTCATTTCTATAAATTCGGCATTTAACACAGAAGTGTTAATGCCCAAACCAAGTCCGGCATTAAATTAAAACATTTTTGCTAAAATTATATGATACCGACAAAATTTGGCTTTTTAAAAGAACTCAAGAGGTCATTACAAGGCAAATTATGAAAATAACGTCTTACCTTTCTGCACTTGATAAGATGATAAGGAAACCTGCAGGCCCTGATCTGGTGGTTTTTATCATAGGGGCATTGTAATAGCTTTTCAGGGTCCAGGGAATCGACTGAAAAAGAGAGGTTTGGATAAACATACAGTTTAAGCTTTAAGCCTTTGTAAAACCACAGTATTCCAGGCACACTGGATTTTTCAACAGAATCTACAAGAATAGAACAAGACAGTCTTAACAACTTGGAATTAAAAAAAAAAAAGGGTGACTAAACATTTATTTTATTTTATTTTTTTTAAAGATTTTATTTATTTATTTGACAGAGAGAGATCACAAGCAGGCAGAGAGAGAGGAGGAAGCAGGCTCCCTGCTGAGCAGAGAGCCTGATGCGGGTCTCGATCCCAGGACCCTGAGATCATGACCTGAGCCGAAGGCAGTGGCTTAACCCACTGAGCCACCCAGGCGCCCGTGACTAAACATTTAAACATGAAAACATAACTCCAAGATAAAACTGTATTACCAACAAATCTTCATAAGTATAGCAAAACAAATTATCATGGGATAGGATCTTGGTTCATATTTAGTTGTATATAAATTCGTTTTACACTAAAGGTAACCAACAATGAAAAGAAAAATAAAGTTACATGAAATGATATCCTCTTTTTCTTCCTAGAAGTGCTAATTCAGGGTCATTCTTATCTCTAGCTAGCCTAACCAAAGCCTCTCAACCAGTATGCTAAAGTTAGAATGGATGGTGTGCCCATATATCGATGTGGGGTACCTCTGTACACGTGCCTCCTGTCCCCCACCAGTCACTTCTAGGGCATGTTAAGGGCAATTAATCCCCTTTGCCAGCATTCTTGCCTATTTACTAGTATGTTATGACATGAAAAAAGATCAGTTATAAGCTCTATGGAAGCTTGATAGGTGATTTCTTTTTCATCTGTCTGCTTGGACTTATTACTGTAAGTAGTTCTTGATCTTGATTACTCTAGATACCTCTCAAAAGAAACCAATACCTTTATCAGATAGGGTGGTTTTATTTTTCATAGTTTGGCACACAGATGAGAAAAAAATCAGAGAATTCTTTAGTGATTATCAAGTTGGACAGATGAAAAAATAATCTGCAAAAACAGAATGTGCTAAGTTTAAGACAACTGCAGACATATGGGGATGCTTTGTGAAAGAAAGCCTCTAACCTAGATCATTCTACTTAAAACTTCCCTTAGAAGACTATACTTTCAGAAATCATCTCTATAGTTACTAAACAAGTTTCTCTAAATGTGTAAAGCTACATGTAGGCTTTATAAATTTTAGCTAGCTTGATTAAGGAAAGGATATTAAATGGTTAATTTAATTTAATTTAATTTAACATTCTCAATAGATTATGGGGACAAAAGGTGACCTAATAAAATGCTGTTACCATCATTGAAGGCAAAGATAAAAGTGAAATAAGATAAACAATTCACATTTGATAAGGAGCTTATAAACCAGGAGACTGCTATGAGAATCAGAAGCCAGTGGGGAATTGAAACAGACAGTTTCACTGGAGGAGTAGTAAACATGGAATAAATTGCTAACCATGACCGTGATGCAAATGAGCCAGAAAGGTGATCTGAAGGACAGAATGAATAGGAAGGAAAAGTCTTAGAGGACAAGCAAGTTTATTATGCCAACCAGGCTCATCCTGACCAGCAATTTTTTTCACATTTCTGAAGCTTCAGGACACCCAGGGACAGTTTACAGATAAAATTCTTATTACTTTCCCTTCATTTAATCCTTTCCATCATGAGCAAATGTTAGGCCATGTCAGCAGCTGACAGACTAGACATACCTTATGATTCATACACATTATGCTGCCCATACAGTGACATATATCAGAGTTGGTAATGATGACTTCCTACCATAATGTTTTATTTCTTGGCCTCTGGTAATTTAGGTTAGCTCTAAACGGTTTTTCTAGATTAAAAAAATTTTATTTGATTTTTAATTAAAAAAATTTTTAATGGTGACAAAAATATACATAACATATAACTTAATATCTTAATCAATTTTAAGTGCATGGTTTGACAGTGTTAAGTATAGTCACATTGTTACGCAACCAGTTTCCAGACTTCTTCATCTTGCAAAACTGAAACTCAATACCCATTAAGCAGTAATTGCCCATTCTCTCCTCTCCCCAATCCCTGGCAACCACTAATTCCACTTCTTGTTTCTATGAGTCTGACTATTTCACATACTTCATATAAGTAAAATCACAGTGTAGGTCTTTTTTTGACTGACTTATTTCATTTAGCATAATGTTCTCAAGGTTCAACCATATTGTAGCATGTGATAGGATTTCCTGTACCTATTTTGCTATTTGCTTTTTTTCTTTAAGTTTTTATTTATATTTTTTAGTAATCTCCACCCCCAGTGTAGGGCTTGATCTCATGACCCTGAAATCAAGAGCTGTATCTGCCTTCAACTGAGCCAGCCAGGTGCCTGCCTTTTTTTTTTTTTTTTTAAACTTCATATATCTTGGAGCTCCTTCTGTGTCAGGATATAAAAACAATATTAAAAAAACAAACAGGGCGCCTGGGTGGCTCAGTGGGTTGGGCCTCTGCCTTCGGCTCAGGTCATGATCTCAGGGTCCTGGAATCGAGTCCCGCATCGGGCTCTCTGCTTGGCGGGGAGCCTGCTTCCTCCTCTCTCTCTCTCTCTGCCTACTTGTGATCTCTCTGTCAAATAAGTAAATAAAATCTTAAAAAAAAAAAAAATCTCTCTAAAAAAAAAAAAAAAACAAAAAAAAAAACAACCAAACCAAAAACCCCAAACCAAACCAAACAGGAATACTTCAGTGCTGCATATGGATGTGCCATGGATTTTTTTTCTTTTTTTTTTAGATTTTATTTGAGAATGAGAGAGAGAGAGAGAGAATCAGAGGGGAGAGGGTCAGAGGGAGAAGCAGACTCCCCACTGAGCAGGGAGCCCGATGCACGACTTGATCCTGGGACTCCAGGATCATGACCAGAGCTGAAGGCAATTGCTTAACCAACTGAGCCACCCAGGTGCCCATGTGCCATGGATTCTTAATCATTTCTCTTACTGATGGACATTTAGAGGTCATTTCCAGTTTTTTACTGTTATATAAAATGCTGTGACTAACAATCTGGTAAATACTTGTGTTCTAGGAGTATTTCTCTTGGGCTGATACCCAAAAGCGCTGCATTGAGGTCTATGTGCATTTAAACTAACAAATACTTTGTACTTGTAATAAATACCATCAAAATGCTCATCAAAAATTCTATCTGGCTTTTTGGGAATACAACTTAATTGCGGAAACAGAGCAGGCCCCGTGGACAAGCTCTCTCCAAAACCACAGACTCAGACGCTTCTCACACCTTGATAGGGCCTGAAACCCAGGGGGAGAAATGGAGGAAACTTCATAGAAATAGGAAAGGAGACCCGACAAAAGTTTCATCAGTTAAGAGGTACAGTCCCAAACAGAAGCTGGAGATCTTTAGATCCGATTAAGATTATAGTTGAAGGGGGCGCCTGGGTGGCTCAGTGGGTTAAAGCCTCTGCCTTCGGCTCAGGTCATGATCTCAGGGTTCTGGGATCGAGCCCCGCGTCGGGCTCTCTGCTCAGCGGGGAGCCTGCTTCCACCTCTCTCTCTCTGCCTGCCTCTCTGCCTACTTGTGATCTCTATCTGTCAAATAAATAAATAAATAATCTTAAAAAAAAAAAAAAAAGATTATAGTTGAAGGACGCCTGGGTGGCTCAGTTGGTTAGGCAAGTGCCTTCCGCTCAGGTCATGATCCCGGAAGTGCTCGGATAGAGTCCCGCACAGGGCTCCCAGCCCTGCGGGGAGTCTGCTTCTCCCTCTGACCTTCTCCCATCTCATGTTCTCTCTCTCTCTCAAATAAATAAATAAAATCTTAAAAAGAAAAAAATGATTATAGTTTAAGGTCAATTTGGGAAGAAGGTCAAGTATATCCTAAGGCAGTGTTAAATTACTTGGGGACTGTGTTAAAATGCAGATTCTGATTCAAAAGGTCTGGGACGGGGCCCAGAGACTGCATTTCTAACAACTCCCAGGTGATATTTTTCTAAGAAAAAAAAATTATGGCTGAAAAAAGTAAAGAATGAGAGACATAAAGGGGAGTTGTTGCTTTCTAATTTAATACAGAGTAGTAAGCTTCTAGGAATAAATATAAATCTACCTATGTCACATGGAATTCCAGGTTTACACTAAAGTATCTTTTTTTTTTAATTTTTTAAAGATATTTTTTATTTATTTGACAGAGAGAGAGAGAAAGAGAGGGGTCACAAGTAGGCAGAGAAGCAGGCAGAGAGGGGGAAGCAGGCTCCCTGCTGAGCAGAGAGCCCGATTCGGGGCTCGATCCCAGGACCCTGGGATCATGACCTGAGCCGAAGGCAGAGGCTTTAACCCAGTGAGCCACCCAGGTGCCCCCATTAAAGTATCTTTTTAAAGTATTTTGCTTATTGGGACACCTGGGTGGCTCAGTTTGTTAAGCGGCTGCCTTCGGCTCAGGTCGTGATCCCAGGGTCCTGGGATCGAGTTCCACATCTGGCTCCTGGCTCAGCAGAGAGCTTGCTTCTCCCTCCCACTCTGCCTACTGCTCTCCCTGCTTGTACTCTCCCTCTCTGTTAAATGAATAAATAACACCTTAAAAAATTTCTTAAAAACAAAACAAAACAAAACATTTTTCCTATTTATTTGAGAGACAGAGTGAAAGAGCACACAAGCAAGGAGAGGGGCAGAGGGAGAAGCAGGCTCCCCACCAAGCAGAGAGCCCCACACAGGGCTCAATCCCAGGACTCCGGGATAATGACCAAAGCTGAAGGCAGACACCTAACCGACTGAGCCATCCAGGTGGCCTACGTTAATATATCTTAAGAAAAACTAAGGAGGTAGGGGAGGGAGCCCTAAGGCAGACCAAGGAGAATCAGTCTTCTAGATCAATGATTCTCAAAGTGTGGTCCTCAGATCAGTAGCCTCAACTGAGAACAGGTTAGAATTGCAAATTCCTGGGCCCCAGACCTTGGGTAAACAAAAACAACAAAAAAAACACACAAAAAACCCCAAACCAACCAACCAACCAAACAAACAAATAAATTCTGGGTTAAGTCTAGCAAGCTAGTTTTAACAAACTCCCCAGGTGATCTTGCTGCATGCTCAAGTTTGAGAATCTCTGATGTAGATATTTAATGAAGACTATTTCCATATAAATATCGGTGATTAAGATTCTTTGAAGGTAGAATGGAACTAAAAAATACCCTTTAGTTGGAACTTATTAACTCCAAAGAGACTCTGAACAATAGAGCAAAGTAAGAAACAAAGTAGGCCCTGTTGTCAAGTTTCATCCACTCACTGATGCCGTTGTTCCTTAAACTTGGTTAGGGTCTAGAAACCATAGTGCCTTATGGTATCCAGTGTGGCACTGCTTATGAATAACGTATGACTCTCTCCCTAACTATGTCACCTTGGGCAAATCAGTTAATCCAGGTTCTGTTTTCTCAGATGTAAAATCCAAACATTAAATGATTTTTTCAGTCTCTTTTGTTTCTACATTGGTATTATTCTAGATGCTAGCTTCCTTCTGACTTCTTGGGCCATCTAAGACTCCTGGATCACTTGAGAAATAAGAACTCTTCGTAGGATTTCTTTAACCCCAAGAACTCAATGTATATCAGCATTATTATGAATATCATATTGTCCCTCATAATAGAAAACAGAGGTTTTAGTTACTATCCCCTTGTCTTTAATAGGAGAAACTGAAGTTCTGAGAAATTGTTTCATTTAATAAAAATATAGTTTAACACAGATGACCCAGCTGTAGCCTTTTCAAAGCTTGATAAATTTCAAGTGTTTTATTTCAAATTTGGGAACTTTTCTACCACCACACAGACAATCTCAGCAGTTGATGGAGAAATGTGAATCTTTCCAAACACACTAAGAGTCTTGTCAGACATAAAACTATATGTAAGGAATTTAACTTATTCTCTAAAAACAGTAAGAAGTACATACTGTAAGTTTCTTCCATGTTGGAAGTGAAGAAGCTGAATCCAAGCACTGAGGGGGAGAAAAAAAAGCAGTGGTTCAGTAAATAGGACTACTAATTTAAAGTGCATTCAGGTGATAAGATAGTGTACTTTAAGTCATTACAACAACCTGTCACTGTTTACCATCCATTAGGGTTGGTATTTAACATTAAAGGGGGCAAGTCAAGACCACAAGAGTACTACTATTTAAACTTTAGGATAAACATAGGAATAAGGTACTGTTTTAAAGTTCTCCTCTGAAGTTCTTAAAAATACAGGATGGGCAGGCTGCCAGTCTTGCTCTCTCCTGGCACCTGGGAATGCTGGAAGTCTAGGTCCACCAGTATGCACTTAGTCCATCCAATAAGCCTAGAGACATTGCTGGCTTACTATTTTTTGAAAAAGATTTTATTTATTTGAGAGAGAAAGAGAGTGAGAGCGTGAGCAGTGGGGAGTAGGGAGTGGGAGAAGCAGACTCCCCGCTGAGTAGGGAGCTTGATGTGGGGGCCCCATGCCAGGACTCTTAGATCATAACCTGAGCTGAAGGTAGTCGCCTGACTGAGCCACCCAGGTGCCCCTAGCTTACTAGTTCTATGACTTTTCTAAATATGATCAGGAAGTGTCACACTTAGTCCAGTGATGCTTTACCTCCCCTCTCCTCCACCAATCCCATATACAAAAATGTACAGACTTTAGGTTAAATCTCTCCAGTTAGTACTCACTCCCTCTAAGCACTGAGGGAAAACTTCTGATTGTTAGGATTTAAAGACTATCTATTTTATGTATAATACAGTAATAAAAGAACAAGTCTGTGACAGAAATGTGGAAGATAAAAGACAAATGATCCTGTAGTTTGAATCCTCTTCTACCAAAGATCTCCCCCCATTTAGCACTGGGATTAAATAAACTAATCATTATGGGAAAAAAACTGAATTTATATAAAACCGTTCTCATAGGAAACTTCTGAAAATTAGCTAGGTTTACAGTTGTTGTCTCTAGGGCAAGCTCTCCTTTGGCCCATCTTACAGTTCCACACCCCTTCCCCCCCATTCTATGACATAAGCAGCCCTGGAATCTGCGGTAGGAAATACAAGTGATCAGCTGGAACTCTAGTTTGGTAATTGGCCACAGAGCCCATTTGTTAATGACATTTACTAACGAAACTGCTGTAAAAAATTTTTTTTTCATGTCTGGATTAAGAAATTCTGACCTTCCTTTTGACAACTTTTACATATACTTTACACTTTTTCATTAAATATAAGAGGTTTGGAAGGAAGAACCAAGTATTATGTTCCTTGATTTTAAGGTATTTAGAGGAACAATCAGCACGAGATTCAGCAACTTACGGAAAGCCAGCCTAAACTCTGGGGGCAAAAAGTCTAATTACAGTAGATTCAGGGCACTGAAATCCACAGCTTTATGATTCAGCCGTGTCCACTGAAGTATCTCCCGTACCATACTGTTAACAGGCGATTCTTTACCTTTCCCCTAGTACTAGACCGCGGTGAAACGGATAAATTACGCGATGCAGTCAAGTTTGGGGGCTGGATATAGTCTGAAGCAATTGGTTAAACTCTTAACAGAGCTGGGGTCTCGGTAAAACAATCCTTTTTCTTCCTTCAAACAAAACAATCAGAGGAGATTTAAGCAATGGGACTAAACAGGAGGTGGGGAAGGTGGTTAACTTAAAACAATGCACACAAAGGAGGCAGGGAGGCCCTCGAGGGGGCAGGCGGTGGCTGGACCACCCTTAGCAGCGCTGAGAACCCACAAGGCCCAAGGTTACAGGCTGGCGGAAAGGGAAGACATTAGGTGGTGAAGGTATCCCAGGACCCTAAAAGTGAGTGTTTGTGGAGGCCCCAAGCCAGGTGGGACGCCTTTCTTACCTCGGTCGAGACACGTTCTCTCCACAGCCGCTTTCTCCCCGCATCCGCGCCCCAGCAACGCTCACTTCCGCCCCTGACGTTAGGGGGTGGGCCCCCACTTCCTATGACGCTGGTCTTGGCTCCACGGGAGCGTGGATCCCCTGGGCCCTCCCTCCCAGGCCTTCCCGGGCCACGGCGCCTTGACCAGTTATCACTCTTCCCGCTCCACCTCCTTGGGCCATTTTCCTCTTTCAGCCCCTGCTCGTTGAGTCTCCGGAATGATAGTGGCCTTGCGTGGGTGGAACTCACGCAAAGTCTCCCCTGCGCTTTGTGGCCGCCATCTTAGGAAAGAGAATGAGGGCTTAGATACGGGCACCGGGCAGGGGAAGGGGACTGGCTGGGGTCGGCTGCTGGCTGGGAGGAAGCCTTGTTTGTGGAAGTTGTCTAGCTGGAAGTGTAATTTGGATTTTGAGGGGACGGAAGAAGCTCTTTGTAGAAGAGCCAAAATAACCAAGGAGGGGAAGCTAGGTTTCATTTAGCAAACATTGTAGAATCTTAAAATCCAAACGTCAGTAGTAGTATCTAAGAATGCTTGGAGAAAGGATGCCCTAGTTAGATTAAAGGGAGTCAGAGTTGAGGAGAGAGCTCAATGCTCAGTGAAGAGTTGGGAGAGGTGAAGAGGGCCAAAAAGTTATAACCTGATAATGGAAACCCAAATATAGATTGTGAGTCTTGTGGAAACGGTGACACACGCACGTATAAACAGTCTTGTCCCTGAGGTGCTTAGGAAACTAGGCCTAAAGTGAATGAAAGGCGAAATGGCAGTATAACATGCCAAAAATGTGGTCACGACTGGAAATTTACATTAGGAAGAAATCAGTGGGGCCCCACGATGAGCTGGGAAGGATTTATAGAAAAAAGGGACTGTGTCCTTTGAAAGCTAGACAGAAAAAAAAAAAAAAGAAAAAAAAAAAAAGGAAGGTGTTGAACTACAGATAGATCTGGTGATACTGTTTTTCAAAACCAAGAAAATAAAATAAAATATAACAAAATATGAAAACAAAATAAAATATGATAAATTTTGTACTATCCAAGGTGCAGGAGGCAGTATGGGAGATCAGTCTGAGTGCTCAATTAGATTGAGACTTTTGGAACATTTCAGTGGTTTCTAGAGCCTAAATGTGACTTCGGAGAACTTGTCCTGATAGCAAGAACTGAATATAACTTATATGAGACTACTTAGTAAACATAGATTGTTACCTTTTTTCTTTTTTTAAGATTTTCTTTATTTAGGGGCACCTCGTTGGCTCCATGGTTAAGCATCTGCCTTTGGCTCAGGTCATGATCCCAGAGTCCTGGGATCAAGTCCCACCTCAGGCTCCTTGCTCAGCGGGCAGGCTGCTTCTCACTCCCCTCTCCCCTGGCTTTCTCTTGCTGTCTTTTTCTCGGTCAAATAAATAAACTCTTTAAAAAATTATATTAAAAAAAGATTTTATTTATTTATTTGAGGGCATGCACATGGGAGGGCATGGGGGGGGTGGTAGTGGGGGAAGGGGCAGAGGAAGAAGAAGCAGATTATCTGCTGAGCAGGGAGCCAGCCTTGTCCCAGGGCTCTCCTGGGTTCCAGGATCCTGAGATCATGACCTGAGCCAAAGACAGACACTTCTGAGCCACCCAGGTGTCCCTACCCAGTTGTTGTTGGTGGCGGTTGTTTTTAAAGATTATCAGCCCTTGGGCTGAAGAGAGTGTGCTTCATAGTCTTTGGCTCACATTAAGACCCTAAAAAGAAATGTGTTGTTAGACGCCCTACCCAAGCCATTCTTGTAGGCTAGTGGTTTTTAATCTTGTCTGTACGTTAGAATCATCTGGGGAGCTTTTAAGGCATGCTATGCCAAGTTCCCTTTCCAGACCAATTAATCAGAAAGGGCTGAGCATAGTTATTTTTAAAAAGCTTCCCAGATGATTCTAATACGCAGTCAGGGTTGAGAACCACTGACCTAGGCACTGTTTTGAATTTAGGAAATCTATTCTTTCACCCGAGTAGCCTGGATAATTCCTGTGAAGGAGGATCAAGCTGTTAAAGTGCTTCTTGAAAGATAATAGCTAAGTATGAAAGCTTCATTGCAAGCTTAGCACAAAGCATTTTAGAGAAAGCTGCTGTTTTGGTAAATCAGTTTCAGATTGTTAGGAATATCTTAAAGTAATCTTTCTGAAATCCTAAACCTCTGAATTTATCACATCATTCATGCAGATTGGCGCAGCCAATGTGATTTGAAGTGAAATGTGATTTTTCAGGCTTTAAATTGCAGTAAGCTGGTGAAATTGTTGACACTGTTACCGTGACCCATAGGTACCTTTCAGATACCTGCAGACTGAAATTTCTGGGCTTGAGAGGATGGAGGGGGTGGGTACCAAACTAGAACCCAAAGTCAGGCTTCACTGCATTCAGTAATGCCTTGTCAGGGTGACAGGATCCTCATTTGAAAAAGCTGTTCCATTTAGCACGGGGGAACAAGCCCACCAACTTTTATTTATTTTAAAGATTTTATTTATTTGGGAGAGATAGCATGAGTGGAGGGATGGACAGAAGGAGACGCAGAGGGAGAGGGACAAGCAGACTTCCCCCCAACTGGGCAGGGAATTCTGATGTTGGGCTCCATCCCAGAACCCTGGGATCATGACCTGAGCCGAAGGTAGATGCTTGACTGACTGAGCCACCCAGGCACCCCATGCCCACCAGCTTTTAAATAAGTAAACAAACAAAAACCCCAAACTGTCTTTCAGTGGAGACTTTAAAATAAAAATGTGCAAAAAAAAGAAAAAAGAAAAACGCACCACATATCTATTCTTTCTATTCTTAAATGCTTTGTTCGTTCATCTCCAACCAGGAAAGTTCCTGCTTTATCTAAGATCCCTGCTGAGCTTCCTTTCAGCCTGGCTTTTCAGCCAGATTGAATATATTTGAAAAGGGAAAAAACGATGAGAGACCAAGGCATTTATAAAGAGTCAGTCTAGGCGCTAGCCAGGATTAATACCCTGGACTGAATCTGATCCTTGCTGGCTCTATCTGAGGATATGCTAGCATTTATCCCTAAATTATAGATTGTATTTTTGAATTAATAATTGTAAGTTAAAAACAGAGACTCTGGACTAACGAGTAAAAAGACAGACCAATGCCCTAGTGATTAAAAAACACTTTTTTTTTTTTTTAAAGATTTTACTTATTTATTTGACAGAGAGAGACAATAGCGAGAGAGGGAACACAAGCAGGGGAAGTGGGAGAGGAGAAAGCAGGCTTCCCGCGGAGCCGGGAGCCTCATGTCCCAGAACCCTGAGATCATGACCCGAGCCAAAGGCAGACGCTTAATGACTGAGCCACCTAGGCACCCTTAAAAAAATTTTTCAAAAAAATGGTTTATTTACTTGAGAGGGAGAATGTGTGGAGAGGAGCAGAGGAAGAGAATCTTCAAGCAGATTCCCTGCTGACCCATGAAATCGTGATCTGAGTCAAAACCAAGAGTCTGGTGCTTAACCAACTGAGGCCTCAGGCATATCCCCCAACCCCGTGCCCCCTCAAATATCTTTGTTAGAAAATGAGTTTTCCCAGCTTTTAGGATTGAAGGAATTCCAGTAGTCTTTGAGATTCCTTAGGGATTTTCAGTGTTTTAGATAACCAATAAAACTTAAACTTTGCTCACCAGAAGACTAAAATGTTAACTTTCTTTTTTTCTGGTTTGAACGTCATCAGCAAAGTTCTGATTGGTAGTTAAATGCATAATTAAAAATAGGAAAATTATTCAATAAACATAGTTGCAAAATATTTCAAATTGAAAGATCTAGGGGATCTTAATGGATAATGTTACTGATGAGGATAGATTGGGAAGTACTGCTTTAGAGGAGGGTGAAAAGTTGGTGCTGGTTGTAATTTTTCAGGCAAAGTAGCAGGGATAGGTGCTGCCACCAGGAAACCAAAGAAAATAAATTTATGTTTAAAAAAAGAGTCCTTAATGGGAGTTTGGAATGAATAGCCAACATTTAGCTCTAGAAACACAGGCTAATACAAGATGAATGAAAAAACTAATAGTGATTTTTAAAAATTTATACTTTAAATTATTTCTGTGTCAATATGTAAATATTATATACCTGTGTAATCCATATCACCTGTAACAGTTATGAGTGGGCTTGAGAAATCTGTTCTCTGTTTTTTTCCTTGACTTCTAGCTAGTTCCTTTTTCCAGAAGTCAGCAACAAACAACCCTTCACTCTCTTTCTGGTGTTGATATCTAAAATGTAAATTGTTAAGTCAGAGTTTTCAAATCATTGTTAGTATCATGTTGGCAAGGCTTTATGAACAAATAGGTGAAGAAACGAAATTTATTGAAAGAAGATTGTTGAAAAGATGGTAGAATGGCAGAATAATACTAAAGAAATTTTACCTACTAAAAATTATGCAAAAGACTAGTCTTGCACAGAACAGTTCTAAAATTATAAAACTGCCATTCTTCTGTTATTTAAAAAAATGTTAATGGGTGCCTGGGTGGCTCAGTGGTTTAGGCCTCCAACTCAGTCTCAGCTCAGATCTTGATCTCAGGGTCCTGAATTCAAGCCTGGGATCCTGGGATTGAGCCCCTCATCAGGCTCTCTGCTTGGTGGGGAGCTTGCTTCCCACTTTGCCTGCCTCTCTGCCTACTTGTGATCTCTGTCAAATAAATAAATAAAATCTTAAAAAAAAAAAAAAAGCATTTTCTAACCTTTGTCTGAGATTAGGTTCTTATGTTTTCTTGTAATCTCTTTTCATCCTCCTTCCCTCCTAGCACTAAACTGTGTTCAGGCCAGTGGTTCTCAAAGTGTGGTCACAGACCGCAGCATCACTTGGGAACTTGAGAAAATGTCAATTCTTAGGCCTTACCACAGTCCTGCTGAATCAGAAACTCAGCGTTGAGATGTCCTATCATCTGTTTTAACAAGGCCTTCAAGTGATTTTAATTAAAAAAAAATTTTTTTTTTCTTTAAGATTTTATTTGACAGAGAGAAACACAGTGAGAGAGGGAACACAAGCAGACGGAATGGGAG